TTATATATATCTAGTCCTTCCTTTGTATGTGTTTATACAGTGATTTGATAGATTGATAGATTACTATGTTTTGGTTATCTCATGGGGACCACGCAATCAAGCGCTTGCACATCTTCTTGGGCCGCTATATAAGGCAGCTCCGCTCGGCTCAACTCACTCAGTTTCGTCGTCGGTGCTATGAGGAGTGCGGTCGGATCAAATCGAGGGGCCAAGCCGAGGAGACGTAGAAGCGTCTCGCTTGGAGAAGGTCGCTTCAATGAAGGATTTGTCTATACCCATGGACACCACTCCGAGCCCAGCGATGCGCCTACCCTGAGGCCTACTATTGCGTGACACGACGAATTTCCGATTATTCGATGTTCAACGAATAGTTGAATACTCGATGAACATTGAACAATCGAAATGATGACTATCGCGTCGAATAGAAAACAAAAAATTTGGTATATTCAACTATCAAATATTATTCAAAATGTCAGATTTTCGAATTTTCGCATTCAATGAAGTATTCGAATAATCGGATAATCATTGGATTCGGCATACAGCAAGTCCTTCCAGCTCGTCGTAGAGCCTCTTGTTGTACGCCTCCTTTGCTTCGGTTAACGCATGCTTCGCTCACATCAGTCCTCGTTATCAACGGAAACCCTCGCTTGCGTAAGATCGTCTCAGTTTTGTAGGCCTTCTTTTTCTCCTCAATCACTTGCTAAATTGACTCAGACCACCACCGGATCTGCTAATCGACAAGGAAGGCCTGGCTGTGTGGTCCTCAAATTTTTCAAGCCCTCGATCGTTTCTGCGAAGTAATCCGATTCGATCAATTCATAACCATCGAGAAGTGGCACCAGCGCAACATCCAGTAATTGGACTGGGTTAAGCGGTCTCCGCTGGCATACGCGATTAAATGCGAGTCCCGTTTTCGAAAAAAGTGTTCCAATAGCTAAGATGTGCTTCAGCGGCTTCGAAGAATTTCTATCCTCGTTTCTTTGACGTATCCGTTTCTACCATGGTATCGCTTAAATCCGTCATATATAGTCGAATGTTTTCCGCTTAGTATTAGGTTGTTACATAACTCTTGTTACACTTAACTTCAAACGGCTACAAGTCATACACCTCACAGTCTTTACAGGGCTCCAAGGTGCCATTCCATAGAGCAAAGCAAGCTCTACAATAAGGTCTGCAGAAGTGTGCACCAGCTCCGATCCACCGTAAGGTTGCATCCAAAATCTGAGTAGTACTGAAGACTCAAAAATCGCGAAAAATTTATATTTTTGTTCAGAAAAGTCCTACGAATCTCCAACTTGCTCACAAAAATTGTCCATTATATCAAACACTCATACGTACAGTTGCTGTAATTTTTCCTTATCTAGAAATCGAGAAAAAGAAAAAATTTTAGTTTTCACAAAAACGAAGCTATTGCTGTTTCTATTCATGCAGCTGTATACTACAAGCCCTTACAAGTATAACCGTAAATTTTCAGCTCTCCAGAAGCCCCAGTTTTCGGAAATTACCTGATTTAGCATTGAACACCCGAGTGGGAGAAGCTAAATTTGGTACTTTTCGAAAACCAGGGCTTCTGGAAAGCTAAAAATTTACGGTTATACTTGTAAGGGCTTGTAGTATACAGCTGCATGAATAGAAATAGCAATAGCTTCGTTTTTGTGAAAACTAAAATTTTTTCTTTTTCTCGATTTCTAGATAAGGAAAAATTACAGCAACTGTACGTATGAGTGTTTGATATAATGGACAATTTTTGTGAGCAAGTTGGAGATTCGTAGGACTTTTCTGAACAAAGTTATAAATTTTTCGCGATTTTTGAGTCTTCAGTACTACTCAGATTTTGGATGCAACCTTACGGTGGATCGGAGCTGGTGCACACTTCTGCAGACCTTATTGTAGAGCTTGCTTTGCTCTATGGAATGGTACCTTGGAGCCCTGTAAAGACTGTGAGGTGTATGACTTGTAGCCGTTTGAAGTTAAGTGTAACAAGAGTTATGTAACAACCTAATATAATGTGCTCCGCACAAGTAAAATTTACGCGTTAACAGGTACGGGCGATGTCAAAAACCTATTCCCTTTTGTGCAGTCCTCGATTTGCATGCACGCGCCGCAAATCCCGTGCGCCACGTGCGCGAGCGGACGGCAGGGCATTTTGCCAACTCCCACAGACGTCATCGATCGAGGGTTGGCAAGGGCCCAAGCCGTGCGCACGCGAACGGAGCGCATCAGCCTTGCGATGCGTACGCGTAAGAGCTACGGACTTGTGAGCTCCTCATTAACATGCACTGTAGCCAAGCCAATAACACCAGTATTCAGCGTGCGCAATTGGCCGGCGTCACGGGCATAGCTGTTATGTTCATGCGCAATTTTTACCGCATTCTATTAGGTTGGCACATGAATTTTGCCACTTAATCCGTAAGTTTTCTCTTCGTTGATGTAGCTCTCTCATTTCTGACCTAAAGGCAGTGTCCGGGCAAGAACTCGATTCTGAGATTTTTTGCTTACCCGGGCCTATTCGCTATGCTGAATCCGAAAATCCACATTGGAAATCGCGAAAACGACGAAAAAGGGCTCTAACACTGGAGGGAAATTAGCAAGTGGGCGGGGTCTTCTCCACCGTGAATTCACGCTCCCAGCCTCGGGGGCAATCTTTTTGATTCCGGTTTCAAGTCAGTCGTTTGCACTTGATCGGTAGTGATGTCTGGGCGGCTAGCGGATTTGAGAAAATTACCCTGGAAGCTGGAAGCGTGAATTCACAGTGGGGAAGACCCCGCCCACTTGCTGATTTCCCTCCAGTGTTAGAGCACTTTTTCGTCGTTTTCGCGCTCTCCAATGTGGATATTTGGATTTAGCATAGCGAATAGCCGGGTAAGCAAAAAATCTCAAGATCGAGTTTTTGCCCGGACACTGCCTTTAATGTAGGCTAGGTAGTGGGCTACAGGGCTTATCAATTGCAGATCCGGGTGCACCAGCATCTCCACTTCCGCGTGGCCAGCTCGCCTGGACTGCGCTTCTTTCGCGAACATGCTCTCCGATTATTTTCGCAAACTAAATTAGCAATTGAAGCTCTGCCTTTCCCGCGTTCATAGTGGGATGGTGACAAGAAAGCATGTTCGCGACGTAGATGCAGAGTCCAAACGAGGAGGCCGCGCAGGAGTGGTGATGCTGGTGCACCCGACTCTGCAGTTGATAAGTCCTACACAAATTGCGCAAATCGTTTTCAATAGCAATGACTTTGCTCATTTTCCGAGAGTTGGTCTCAAGAATATCAATGTGCCAGAAACAAAAATGACGTTCTCCTGCATCAGACGTAAAGAGGAAATTGTGCAAAGATGCTTGCTACATAAACTCAATCTATGCACAGTTTCGGCTTAATGCGTCTGACGCAGGCTGAGATCAATTTAATTTTTTTTCAGCCCCATGAAGTTTCTGATTTGACCAGCTTTCGAAAAATGCGCAAAATGTTCCCAAATGCCGCTAGAAACAAACGGCTTGACCAGATCTGTAGCTCATTACCTAAACATTATCTTATATATAAAGCTGAATGTCTGTTTGTATGTATGTCTGTATGTATGTATGTGTGTACGTATGTTCCGAATAGAAAATTCCATTTCTGAACCGATCCGGACCAAACTTGGCACACATACACTACGGGCCCCGGCGGGTGTCATAGGCTACTTTTCGTCATCGATCGATATCGATTTTATCGATTTTTATCGATTTTTTTGCTGAGTTCACCTACGGGGCTGGGAGTTGGCACAGGGGGGTAATCGAGCATGGGGATTCCGAATACAATATTGGTTTTCAGGATTATCGATTACTTTTATTGATTTTATCGATTTTTTTGCAAAGTTTGAGCTACGGGGCTGGGAGTTGGCACAGGGGGGTAATCGAGCATGGGGATTCCGAATACAATATTGGTTTTCAGGATTATCGATTACTTTTATTGATTTTATCGATTTTTTGCAAAGTTTGAGCTACGGGGCTGGGAGTTCGCACAGGGGGGTAATCGAGCATGGGGATTCCGAATACAATATTGGTTTTCGGGATTATCGATTACTTTTATCGATTTTATCGATTTTTGCAAAGTTTGAGCTAGGGGGCTGGGAGTTGGCACAGGGGGGTAATCGAGCATGCTGATCATCCCCAAGGGGGGTGATCAGCATGCTCGATTACACCCCTGTGCCAAATTCCAGCCCCCTAGCTCAAATTTTCAAAAAATCGATAAAATCGATAAAAGTAATGGACGATCTTGAAAACTAATATTGTATTCGTAATCTGCATGCTCGATTACCCCCTGTGCAAACTCCCAGCCCCGCAGGTCAAACTTTACAAAAAAAATCGATAAAATCGATAAAAGTAATGGACGATCCTGAAAACTAATATTGTGTTCGTAATCAGCATGCTCGATTACCCCCCTGTGCAAAATCCCAGCCTCGCATGTCAAAATTTACAAAAAATCGAGAAAATCAACAAAAGTAACCGATAATTCTGAAAACTAATATTGTATTCGGAATCCCCATGCTCACTTCCCCCCTGTGCCAACTCCTAGCCCTGTAGGTGAACTCTGCGAAAAAATCGATAAAAATCGGTAAAATCGACATCGATCGATAACGAAAAGTGGACTGTGACATCCGCCGCGGCCCGAAGTGTATGTGTGCCAAGTTTGGTCCGGATACGGCGGAGCCGGGTAAGCCAGCTAGTATCTAATAATGAGGACACTACATCGAAGGACAGAAAAGCAGTGGAATAATTTGCAAAACTTAAACTTGTGCTAATCTAATACCTAGTGCAAGCACAGTATATTAAGCGGAAAATTTACTCGACTGTACTACAAGGATGCAAATGCCGATGTTACTGAACACCAGAATAGTCGGAAGAATGGCAAACTTTATGAGCTAAAGCTAAGAATGGCAAACTATAGAAGCTAAACTATAGAGAAAACACTCTAAGATAATCACATTGTGAACTGTACTGAAATTTCTAAAGAAAATCATCACATTTAGAGCACTGTAACAGCCAGTTCTACAGATATTTCTTTAACGAAGCGCTCGGTTCAGTGTTTGCTGGCTTATCCGTAGTGCCAGGAATTTTGATAGTTCTGAGGTATGTCAGTTTTCCCGTATAATATCACGAGTTAGAAGATTTCAGGTCTGTACCTCCACAGCATCGTAGCATTTCCCTAGGCATCAGTGGCTTCCTTGTCAGCTTGTTAGGTAATTTTTTTATTATGCATCTATTTGTTTTTTAAATTAGTAGTTATAGCTTGTCATATAGTCATAAGAAAATCATACTGGGCTAACAGTAACTTTTCTGATTGCAATTCGTTTGCTGATTGCAAATTCACAATTTCGAAGATGAGGTTGACATGCATAAGGCCTTGTTATTGTTCTACCTGAGTCTCTTTTTGGAAACTGTATTATGCAAGCGAAACTGTAGAATATTAAGTATCTCTTATCTGAGTGGTCGGCGTTCCATTATCAACATCTCGGAAATCGTGCAGGCATACACTAGCAAACTTACTCAACTTTACATACATACAGGCAAACAGACATTAAAATTTTAAAAGACAATATTATTATCTGGTGCTTGAAATAACAGTTTTGTATCCCTAATAACTGATGTCTGATGTAAAAGGTCTGTTACTACACAGTGCAGTGGGCTATGCGTTTGCGTTTTGCTTGAAATCAAGGACATCTGCGCCGTGAAGAACTATCACAAGTGTCCATTTTTCAAAAAGTTGCAGCAGTGGAACCTAAATGGTGCGCTATCAAGAGAGACATCTACTGGATTCAAAAGCATTTAGCCGCCTGTGTTAGCAGAAAAGACAGACCTATTCGCCCTTATCAACTAATGAGCAGAAAGGGTCCTGCAGTTCCAAGAAGACGCTTCCTACGTTTCCGATAGTTGAGGTTAGCAAGATGCCTAGACGATATGTGCAGATGCGGCCTGAGCGAGGCAGAAACGAGCCCCAGACGCAGAAGGTGCAACGGACTGCGTAGCAAATGTTACCCAGGCTGTCGCAAGGTACCGCAGCCAGCCGCCAGAGCTCGTGCCAGGGTCCGGCACAAATCCCTTGGAAGCAGGCTAGACGTTGTTTTTGGAGCAAAAAGCAAAGGTGATATCGTTTTTGCGGAATCGGGGGCCGAGCACCAAGAATAAGCGTCATTTAGTCGAACACAAGCTTTTCGGACAGGTTATCACACGGTTGACATGCTTTCTTATCGTGTATGGCGAAAAGTGCGCGCGATTTGAATGCAAGGCTAAAATAAACAAATTGCTTGTTTACAGCGCACATAGAATCGTATGACACCAAAATTGAGCAGTATACATAAAAAATTATTTGCAAGAGAACTATGCAAAAAAATTTGAAAACTTATGTGAAGTATCACCTTTTCCAAAATTAGTCCGTCTCCAGACGATCTGAGATCGCCTGGAGCATATATTTCCGTAACTTCACATAAGTTTCGGATTTCCTTAGCATGGACGAATGAATCGCGTAATTTTCAGCTCGCAGCAAGTAAATGGTTTTGTCAAGAACTAAGTGAGTATGGGGAGATCCACCAAAGTCGGAGGGTGGGGGAGGGGGGTACAGCAATAATGAAAGGAGACTTCGTAAAATTTTTGAAAGTCAGGGGAGACTTCGTTTTCAAAAGCCTAGAAACGGACTCATGCCGGGCCCTGGCTGTACCAACGCCGAGGCTAAGTTACTGTAAGCGCCCTCTCGTCGTCCACATCCTTCGCCGAGAGATTTACGCATCTTACCGCGCTGAAATGCGAGAATTCCCTCAGATGTCGCGCAAGCGCCACAAATTATACATCAATCAAGACAGAAGAGAATTTGTTTGTTATAAATTACAATACAAAAATATGCAACAAAAAATTAATAATAGAATAACTTAGCAAATAGAAGATTAAATAAAGAGTATAATAATGTGGAATGAATTTATAAATATTATAAAATAATTGATTATCAAAGTTTTTTGACACAACTCGTAGTGACCTTTGGAGCAGAAGAATATTTAACACCTAAGTAGGTCAGCTATTGAAATAACCGTGCCACATATGCAGACATAAATGAAAAAAATAAAGTAGAGCAGCCAAGATCCCAAGTGTCTAACTCTCAGCTGTACAGCCTTGTCAGATCATCTTGCTAAGGCAGTATCCCGACAGATTCGCACCCTAGGAAATATTTATTTATTTATTTATTTAATACGCACAAGGCGCGCCCATACAACAGAAGAACGAAGCATCACACCAAACAACCAACAACAAAAAAAAATAAAACAAAAAGGCAAACCCCACTGAATGTTCAAGTCCAGTCAGCAAAACCTTTCTGGGAATGGAAAGGGAGTGAGCTTGTTTAGACATATAGCTGCTATGGGGTTCTTTGTCAGTTCACTAACCTCCAGGCACAGTCCGGTTGGTTGATGTCCCCACGCCGAGAAAATGGTTCTCGAACCGGCGCGCGCTGACGACTTCTCTTACCTGTTCGGCGCGGAACCCCACTACCGCTCTTCGCAGTGCTATCAAAAGCAAAAATTAGGGCGGCAGGGTCTCCGTGCTGGGGCCTCCCAACTTTCCATTGACCGAGCTGCATTTTGGCAATTGGGTAAACGCTCCAGAATCGGTCTTTTCAACCCGTTCAAAGCTGTAATTCGGGTTCTACGTATCGAAAAGGCTTAATACATGCAGAAAAGTGAAAGTGCAAAATCTGCTGGGACACTGCATCTGAAGGCACTGGCTCGGCAAATTTCAACCTAGTGAAATTTTCGCTTATCTGGGGTTATTCAATGCGCTGATCCCCAAAATCCACTTTTGCGAGCTTGAAGACGGCGAAAACGATCGTCTTGTAATGCCCTTCCCTTCGGAATTGGACGAGGCAAGGCTGATGACGCTGGATCGTTGCGGGACCCAATGGTTATGGCATTGCGGCGGGCAGCCTCCAGTGGTGCTCAGACACTCGCGGTTGACTCGCGCAGGGCAAAACGATGTGTAGCCATTGAATGCGTGGGCGACTCGCGAAATCGGTGTCGCGGCAAAATCAGGACACCTGATTTTGTGTCGCGGCAAAAGTGCGAGGCAAAATCGGGGCAAAATGGGGAGACCTGCGCGAGACACCAAAATGTCGCGATCGCGTTCAGAGCACGCGGCCTACGCCCTTACTGACAGCTTTTTGCGTCCTCTAAGCCCTCTCTCACGCCTTCCTTTTGACTTACCTTGAGTCCTTGGTCACGTTGGGTCCCGTTTCCCACGCTTGTTTTTTTTCTGCTGATAAACCCAGTCTTACGTCATAAAATTTATTAGCAAATACCACATGATCTTCTCGAGTAGCGTTTACAATAACATCGAAATGAGACAGGAATCAAAGCACCGCAATCACGACACAAGGTTACGAAAGAACTACGGTTAAGAATGACAGCAGTATTAATTTTTTACGACTACTTCATCTTCATCTTCAACGTTTTCAGTCTTCTGGATCGTTACGCCTTCTCTGGTAACACTGCTGCCTTCGACCATGACGCGCTTTTTCTGAAAATAAAAAATTATTGTTACCAGGATCGTATAAAACAAACGAATTACCTTTGATGGAAGGAGCATGGACCTATCAGGGTCAAAATGATACCTCCCGATGTCTTCCCTGCAAAAATATAGTTCAGAAGTATCGCTTTCCTTATGAGAAAACTCACAAAGCTCTCCCATTTGCTATCCTCGCCTTACCGCTCCATACTACTCTTTCCTCTGAGAGGACGTCGAATAATTTTTCGCAAGCGTCGTCATTTTAGGCTAAGTCCAACCACCACCTAAATTCTAGTGCACATGAAGGTCTTTCGAGAACATACATACTTATTTGGATTCCGTTTATGCTCATCTGGCGTCCGCAGAAGTTGGTCGCGGTGTAGGCCAAGGGCGTCAAGGATGAAACCTAAATCAGTTATTGAAAGTAATGTACTCAAACACACATTGACCCACTTATTAAGAAATCGACTAATCCTTCCGGGAGGTCCTTAAGATGGTCAAATTTCTCCTTCTTCCCGCTCTGTCTACAGGCGTACTGTTGAATTTCCGTAGGTGGTTCGCAGGCCTAAACGGTGATTACGAGACGACCTTATCATCTTCATCTATCGCTTACATTTAGGAAGAAGTGGCGCAAAAAGTCAAGCACCAAAAGGAAATGATCATGCTTGTGCGCGCGTTTTGGTCTCTGCCACTTTTCCATGACTTCAACCATATTGAACTCCTGAAACCAATAATTTTTCCTCGTTGACTGAGAATAGTGGCCAAAGACCTTGAAGGGTGGTGCACTCTCACGATGCCACATCAACGTGTTTTTATATTTAGTATCAAACTATTTATGAGCATGTGTGGCAGTTTATCACAGAATGCTCAAAACACAATAACGTGATTCAAAAAATTGCTCTGAGCTTGCTCAAAGCCTTTGCTCCTTTCGAGTGGTTTGCGCAGAACTTCGCATGGACCGAACTTTCTAGCTAGCTACCCCACTACCACCTGCGGCGAAAACATAATTGCAAATGATGAATAAGCTTCCCATCAAGTATCCATGTTGATTGTACCTGTTTTACATGTTTTTGATCCAACTGATCTACCAACATTGCCCAATTCAGAACTTTGCACGATTTTTCCATTATCTCCGAGATTTGATGTAATTAAGTTGCAATGAGGGTTTCCTTGCCTTAGGGACCTTCTAATATAACCTTAAACAACTTGCAAAGATTGTGGCTGCAAAAGTGGTCCGAACTCTTTACCACTTGCTCCATAGTCTCCGCAGGTATCCACTCGACCACCCGTCCACATCTGCATGCCCTTGGCGCCGCAAGCTAAATGCGAGCCTTAGCCGCATCTTGGGTAAACCATCGCTCATAACTTTGCCCAGAAAATCATTGAGCAGCTAAGGATCACGAATTTGGCATTAGGGCCCCAAGAGCAGCAGAATGATATGCATCATGTGTGGAAACCCCACTTCGATGGATGATCCTTCCCTTGTAAGTAAATTCCGAACTCCGGCTAAGCCAACTGTCAGAAATGATGACGTGCGGGATGAACAATGTGCATAAACTCTTTCATCTTCCGAATTGAGTACAAATCACTGAAAAAAAAGGCGAGAGTCAAATGAGTGATTTTTCTAAACTCGTGAGATGCAGTACGATAAATGTGAGCTATGCCAGGTAAATTTTGAACTGGAATTGTGTACTCT